TGAATAATTACATGTATATATAGTGCTCACTAAAAAAAGATTCCAGAATATCCTGTGTTGTCTGTACCTTATCAAATGTTTTGGATGTAACTTACCATAGCAGTACTTGGAGATGTAATACTCCATGAGCGTGTGTTATCTATAACTTTTCAAGGCTTTGCGATGTAACTTATTAGGGTAGGATTTAGGGATGTAACATCTCATGTTATCGTGTGTTGTCTGTAACTTACCGGGGCAGGATTTAGGGATGTAACATCCCATGTTATCTTGTGTTGTCTGTAATTTACCAAGTTTTTGTGATGTTACTTATGAATTTCCAGGACATGATTTAGGGATGTAACATCCCATGTTATCGTGTGTAACTTACCAGAACAGGATTTAGGGATGTAACACCCCATGTTATCGTGCGTTGTTTGTAGCTTACCGGGACAGGATTTAGGGATGTAACACCCCATATTATCGTGCGTTGACTGTAACTTACCGGGACAGGATTTAGGGATGTAACACCTATGTTATCGTGTGTTATCTGTAACTTACCAGAACAGGATTTAGGGATGTAACACCCCATGTTATCGTGCGTTGTTTGTAGCTTACCGGGACAGGATTTAGGGATGTAACACCCCATGTTATCGTGCGTTGTGTAACTTACCGGGACAGGATTTAGGGATGTAACACCCCATGTTATCGTGCGTTGTGTAACTTACCGGGACAGGATTTAGGGATGTAACACCCCATGTTATCGTGCGTTGTGTAACTTACCGGGACAGGATTTAGGGATGTAACACCCCTGGTTATCGTGCGTTGTGTAACTTACCGGGACAGGATTTAGGGATGTAACACCCCTGGTTATCGTGAGTTGTCTTGTTCGTCCTCTGTCCATTCTTGTCGATCCAGTAAGCTTCCCTGTATATCAGACCGTAACCACACGTGACCGAGCACGACGTCCACCCTGACCACCCGCTCCAGGTGGAAGTTTTCTGCTCAGGGGACACCACTGACAGAGGAACGAGATAAAATATTAATATTATTAGGGTTCATCTAATAGATACTCTGTCCGCTCGTATTCATGTACCGCGGCCTAATGCCCTTTATATAAATTTACAATTAAACCAATCATTTTATTTAAATTCTCATTATACATGCAATTTAAATGCACATAATTGCAGCATATGCATCGTGAAAAAATTGACTGAAATTGCCTTAATATGAGGTTGGCATTTTATTAAGGAATGAAAGCCGCTTTTGTGTTGTCTCTCTTATCAGACGGTCAATTTACCTTAACTTGAATCACTTGTATTAAAAAAATCTTGAATTACGGTACATCCTATTCTAAAGGACAAATTTTACTGTCGTTTTGTAATCTATAAAACCTTTTAATTAATAATTAAGTCTTTCTTTCTTAAGCTTGTTTCTTTCTTTTTTTTAAATAAACATTGCATATAAATTTACAGTTTGTACAGCAACTTGTATAATAGCAATTATGATACATGTAATATAATTCAATAATTATGATAATATATGAATAGAAAGAAATGTATGGAATTTAATTATTTTTGATCTTGAATTACACATTCTTAAATTCTATATAACAAACGCGAGACGCGATTTATGTCAGATTTTATTGTTGTGAGTTTTAGATGTAAAATACATACATGTATTATACAGTTATCATTTTCAAAATTCCAAAGTTTTAAGATTTTTGAAAAAGACATTCTAAATAGAAATTCTAGTTTGTAAATTATGTTTTCTATTTATTGACGAAGAAAAAAAGTCGTGTCTGGGATTTTGAATGACTTTTGAACAACCTATAAAAATTTTAAAAATGTGGACATTTTTATCAACTACAAAAACGTTATCTTTTACTCTTTCAAAACATTTTTTTTTCATTTTGTGATAGACTGCTTTTAAATACACCCTGTAACAATACGCAATATTTAGACAAGTTCTCCCCGGAGTGGAGCCTTTGTTGTCTTTGGACCCCAAGGACAGAATTAAACGCGTTCTGCAGGACCTGTTCTGTGCTGAGGAATTTTAATTCAATCGTTTTAACAAAGCTTTACTTATTGTACATACTTAATGGGTACGAGTCCCATTAAACACGTAATATTATGGATGTATTTTATATATAGGTACCGATATGTATCTATATGGGATAGACATAGTATCTATAAATTAGCCTTTCTACAATAGTAATATGTTAAAGGCAACTTTTTATCATTTAGTGGTTTTTTTTTTTTTTTTTTTTTTTTTAACATGCGGGTGGTTGAAAAACAACGAAGAAATAAATATACTTGATTATGGGTATATCTTAAAATTATAATCTGATTCAGATTTACAAAATCTTGTTTCAATAAAGATGAACTTATAACCCCCCCCCCCCCTTATTTTCAATTTTAAACAGTGAAAGCTTTAGCTAGTTGTTTATAATTTAGAAAAAAAAATTAACAATACAATTCTCTTTTTCCCCCAGTCAATAAATTACAGAAATACGCCAATCCTATTGTCATCTTGTCAAAATTAAATACATACAAGTGTTAATTGAATTTTCAAAACAGTTTATTGGAATTAATATTTTGACAGAATTTTGAAATCATACTTAATGAATTCATTCTGATTCATTCTGACACATTCGTATGTGGAGAGAGAGAGAGAGAGAGAGAGAGAGAGAATGAGAATGAACAGAGAGAGATAAACAGAAAACCACATACCTGCATAAAAACAGCTGATTATCACCAGAGAAAACACTGAGAAACACCTGTGTGTCATTATTACACCTGACGGAGACTTCACTTCTGTAAATAAAGTCATACAAGATATCATTATGGGGCATCGACAAACCTGCCATTCTGATAAACATCTCTGTAGATATCTTGATTCGGAAATGTTTAATTAATGTCAGATATACTCTCTGTGTCCCCTATAAACAGCATGTAGAGCAAGCGCCCAGTTCTTTGTGCAGAAGCGCGTCTCTTTTAAGTTTTCAAGCCATTAAAGTCCATTGAACCGAGAAAACGTCAAGATATTTTTATGATTAGAAGAAACAGATTGTTCAAATCATTTTGGGATTGTGAAAAGTCGAATGAATGGGTATATACGTAGAATATACTTGTACAAACATTTGACTGAGACACTCATCTCGGCCCCTTTCTCTTTACACAATTTAATTATTGTGTCATTTTTTTTTCATTTCTCCTCTACAAGAGAAAACTTTCTATATTGGGACAATATTTACATTGTAGCGATCACATTCCTAATCAAACAAAAGGTAGATTACGTCGTACAGTCTATAAACAGTAGACTTTTAATTTACACTGTACATATACATACATGTACACTGCGCTGTTGGGTTGATAAACACGGTGGTAGTCGAGTGACCCCAATTTTAGGACAATCGCGGGAGGGTACGTTTCAGACACGGCAGATGATCGAAAGAAAAACCTCCTTACCTCAGAATCTTGTAGATAAGTGGTGGCTGGAGGACATTTCACAACATCGTCAAGTCCCTGGCGTCATTAGATTTTGTCATAGCATGGCTGCACAGTGGCCTAGCTGTTAAATGAATCACTGCGACACACACATTGTGAAATGTTTTTAATTTTTGTATGCCAGTGTGTAAGAGGAGGCGGATCTAAAATTACCAACATACCTCAGGATATTTTTTTCTCTTGAATCTACATAAGTGGTCGAGAGAGAGAAAGAGAGAGAGAAAGAGAGAGAGAGAGAGAGAATTTAAATTACATTTTTTTTTTTACAATATATACTGATCGAGATCAGATTTGTAACTATTACACATTAAAGCCTCGAATTACTAATTTGTTTAAACGTATTGATAACTCGTTATAATTATTATCATTTGTAAATTAATTATGAAAACAAACTGATAATTTGTTAAAATAAAATTAAAATTAAAAGTAAAACTTTATATAAATTTATATATAAATTTCTGAACTTGTGAACGTCAGGTCCTTTTGACTCTTTGTAAATAAAATTCATTCAGACATTTCTTATTTCAGTTTATTGAAGTCAAGAAGCATAGATCTCAGAGACAATATTTACTATCATACATTTGAACATATATCGGGTATACTATATATGTTAATATCAAAAAACAAACCCAAACCGTGGGAGATATAATGATGAATTATAAAAATTTAACATGTACAAATCATATATGATATTTTCGGTAATTTATAAATCAGTTGAAGTCACGTACTGTTCTTGATGCACTCGCTAATTTCAAAAATTTTCCTAGATTACATAATTCTTTTACATTCTGTGCGTTTAGTAACTATACCAATTTGAAGACACTTGGTCTTCGGGTGTAGTAGGTTTTAATGTATTTTTCTCTTATAAAATTCAATACAAGAATTTAACAGATTTATCCGGTGAAGGATCGGGAGATCGAATGGTCCGGAATTCCTTTGTTTCTTTAAATAAATGTATATTATACATAATAATATTCCCCTCCCGAAATGCGCCTAAGAACACCCCCACCCCCGCCCTCTGTCGCTTTTTTCCAATAAAAAAGATAATTGATTTAGGAAGAAAAAAAATCTCTAATACCTATCAAAATCGTAAAAAAAAAAAAAAAAAAGCCTGGAGAACGTCGGATATTTCGGATTATCTCATAGAATATTAATTAAGTTATCTCCTTACAACCTTCAATTATAAGGACTTCAGTTATTTCGACATAAAAATAAACTAGCTATATTTTCTATATTTCCTATACACCGGTAGAAATTGGCAGAATTACTGAGTGATTTGAGACCTGTGCCCCTTTAGTTGGTTAATAAGACAATCTATCTTCATCATAGTTCATGAGACGATATACTAAAAGATTTCATATAATAATTTTTTTTATAAAAAAGTATAATCACAGTTCTTAAAGCCTCTTAGCATTTTACACATCAATTGCATTTTTTTCTATTTTTAATTTTAAAGAAAGGGTGAAATAGCTATGAACATACATGTTTTGATTGCATTCCAATCCGTACCCTCTCTAGCTGACTCCTAAAAAAATCGATAAAACAACTCTTATGTTTAAAAAAAAAATAATAACACCCATTATTGCAGTACTTGTAAACCAACGAAGATTGTGCTAAGATTTTATATATTTTTTAAGATCATCTTTGTCATTATTTCTTTTTAATAGTCTGATGAGAATGGTGAAAATATGCATTTGTCAAGTGGTTAAAAGAAAATTCATTATATTCCTCGGGTTCGACATTCTCTTTTCAAAAATCAAATAAAATGGCGTCTCCAGCGAAGAGTTCTCCACGAGATGCACAAGTTATGGGTGCAATTTTAAAAGAAATGGGTGTTACTGAATACGAACCCAGAGTCGTGAATGTTATGTTGGAGTTTGTTTACCGTAAGATCATGTTTTCAGTTTGTAATGCTGGGGTTTTCAACCAAATCATTAATCATGTTATAATCGACATCCTTTTGGGCTTAGTCTTACTCTTACTGAGTCTTAGTTTCAAATATTGGAATAAAAATAATGATGCAGCCTTTTGTAAATACATTACGACAATTGACCCGAGTCGTTAGCAATATTTTAATCCCTGCATATTTTATTTTAAAGTTCAAATCTGTGTGTAGTTACCACAGGCGCTTGTTTCATACAGTGAGCTTAGTTTTCTACTTATATAATAGTGTTGCATTATGCATGTACTATGCCTAAATAGTAGGCAGGGTTTGACACATGGTGCACGAGCCGGAGGCATAGTGGTCTAAGGAATGACTTTTTCCTGAAAATATCGGTGCTTACACAGCGCACTTGCAAGAGCTAGAACTCATTCAAAATCTTCATGCTAAAATTGTTTGCATGCTTAGTTATTTTGGTTACTAGTATTTTCTCTAAAAACGTCGGGATTTTCTGTCCCAAAGCAACTCATCTTTATTTTCTGTTTTGTTAGTAAGCCTTATTTGTTTGCAGACGTCGATTCTCATTGATAATTTTCTTTTACATCCTTCAATCAAGCGTCATATAAAAAAGCGTTTTAATGACCCTATGAAATCAGTTCATCTAACGATCTGTATGTAATTAGTTTGAAAGTTTGTTGTACACATTAATCAAAAGTTCCTTAGAATAATATAACTGTTTTCAAATAATATTTATCTATTTTCTCCTTCTTGTGTCAATTGTATAAATTAAGTTTATATATTTAATAAATTTCTACCAATCATTGATCGTCTCTGTGGCGTAATCGATAAGGTATCGGACTTACAATCTCATGGTCGTGAGTTCGATCCCCGGCGTGTGCACTGAAGAATTTTATTCAGTAAATAAAGCCGTGCACTATTTCGGCATAGTATGCTTACGCTATATAATTCCTTAGACCACTATGCGAGAATAGTAGGGTATGGGTTATATAGAGACAAACTGACAGGAAGCATAATAATATATAATAACACCCTTGTGTTATTATATAGTAGAAAACTAAGCTCACTGTATGAAACAAGCGCCTGTGGTAGTTACTTCTTTTTTGTAAGTGTTTTAAAAAATGTGAATAAAATCATTAAATGTAAAAAAAAAAATATATATTTCTCTGTCAAGAATCAAAACAGTTTTAAATGTAATTGCGAGATATTCCATTTATCCCTTTTCTGCCTAAGGCTGCTTAAAAAATTATAGAATAAAAGAAGATTTTTTTCCTTAACATGCTTAAGATGTTAAAACGGGTCAGGGAACTACTATGCTTTCACTTAAAAATTGATTGTTATGATTTTCTGTGCTTCGCCTTCAGTTGGATTCAGTATATTTCTCTTCTTAATAGGTTATGTAACAGACATATTGGAGGATGCCAAAGTGTACTCGAACCATGCCAACAAGAAATCTCTGGATGCAGAGGACATAAAATTGGCTGTTCAGTGTCGTATGGATCACTCCTTCACAAGTCCACCCCCCAGAGACGTAAGACACAAGCAACAATTCTTTATTTTTTGTTTTTGGTGGTAACTTTAACAGGGTGAGATTATTAGGAAATGAGAGTGAATAACTCATTTTGTGATGATTTTACTTGTCCCAACCTGTATAAAGCTAGATTTTCATCAAGGAAAGAAAAAAAAACGATAAAAGCTTGTTTTAGATTTCTTTTTGAAATTGTTTCTAATGTACATATGAAGTGTATTTATTCATCATGTTCATATTAAAAGAAAATGTAGTTTCATTAATTAAGTGCCTCACTTCTCAGCCTTGACTCTCTTTTCAGCTGCTGATGGAGATTTCTAAACATAAGAATGGACAAGTTTTACCTCTCATTAAGACGTACACTGGACTGCGACTACCTCCAGATAGATATTGTCTGTCTGCCCCTAATTACAAAATGAGCAGCCATAAAGCAGTCAAAAAGGTGTGCTGTACTTCTCATCTTCAAGAATATTTGAATCTTGTTGATTTCTATTCATTGCATTTGTTTTGCCAAAAAGGAATTGAAATAATTAATAAATACATAAAATGTTTTTAAAAAAATGTAGGTTTAGTTGTTTCTTTATCTTTATATCACATGTATAGCGTGTGTTTATTTGTTACCTGAATTTTTTTTTTTGTAAGGAAGCTATCAAAGACATTCATTAGACAAGTATTACAGTACATGTATATATTTGAATGCACACTACATTTATGAATTAATTTTGATCCCAGCATCAGGCAAGAATACAGATCGGTCTGCCACAGTTCCAGCAGAGAATCAATCTGAACCAGATGTCAATGACACCAGGTGAGTAAAGGATCAATGAGAATTAGCAACAGGTAAGTTAAAAATAGATTTTAACCAAATGTTGATGATGTCAGCTAGGTAAAGAACTCACTTGAACTTCTCGTTTTCAACAGGTGAGTAAAAAAATCAACCTGAATCATGTGTCATTAACAAAGGTGAAGAACCCAATCCAGATTATGTCAGAAAAAAATGACCTTTGACCCAATTCAAAAGATTGTTTCTGGTATCAACATCTCGTCAGCATTTTCTCCTCATACAAACTTTTTGTATCCTATCTAAGAGTTATCTCACATTACCTAGTACATGTGTGTACTGATTGTGACTGATTTTATTACCAGGAAAACTTGGCCCTGGGGGTCCACATCTCACTGTAGTGACCAAACCCGGGATGACTGTTCCCGCTGTTACCATAGTTACCAAACCATCTGGTCAGCATCATCCAGTACCAAAGCCAGCCATACGGATATCTACAGGTGTGTATCCGAATCCTCTGCAAGATGTTTTTGAGGATTTTCAAGCTTTCAAAGTACATATGCAATGTATGATATGTAGAAAAGCCTTGTAAAGTAAAACCTAAATTTACGGAAGTACCTGTCCTTATATAAGATACATTGTATTTTGAATCTTAACAGTATTTATACAATGCAAGTTTTTATTCGTTTACTGAAAATGTTTTATACTGTTGTGAAATTGAGAATTTCTATCTTTATGCTCTGTAGGTCCATCATTGAACTCGCTGAATCAGACTCGTACATTCCAACACACAGTTCCGATGTCTGGGGGTCATCCCCCTGCCCCTCAGCCCACTATACAGTTCCAGCCCCTCCAGAGTACCACCACCTCCCTCATCAGTGGACAGTCATCAAACCCGCTCAAGCGTAAAATGGAAGACGAAGATTATGATAATCCTTCATAAGGAAGGGGAATCCATGATAATGTTACAGCGCAAAGAATTCTCCAACCACAGAGAAACTTCATCCGAAGTATGTGTTGTGTTTTTCTAGCCACAGGTTATTGGGGATATATACATTCATAAAAACTGAATAGAATGGGAAGATCCTGAAGGTTTTAGGCCTTTAAACAGGGATCTTGTGTTTTCTGGCTGATATCAAGACATTACCATGACATTGTATGTATGTGGTCGTAAAGATTATCATGTTGTCATTGTTTTACACATTCATGAGCAGGTAAATGAAACACGAACTTGATTGTTAGAAGTTGTATATATGTGATACTTTGTATGCTGTCAATTTAACTGAATGAAAGTTGTAGAGTCTTCTAATGCTCAAAAGTATTTATTAATTAAATGTTATACTTCTACACATATTCCTATTTTTTTACCTATGGAAAACTGTGTACATTACTGTATTTATTCATTTCCGAGTCTGTTTTTCTTATAGGTTTTTTTCCCCTATGTGTTTGATATACGATTAATTGATTATGAATATGCTATACATATATTTTAAAACACTCCTCATTTTCCCTCTGTATCCATAATAAAATTAAATAAACATCTCTAGAGGAATCACTGCTGGGAATGGAAATTTGAAAAAATAAAATAAAGACAATAATATAAGAAGTCAGAGCATCACTATGGCACAGTTTTTGTCTTCATGACACAGATCTCTAAAGACGTTACAACTCTCAAGTGTACCATAGTGAACCTCTACTGTCCTCTAGTGAATCACAGAGGGTTGATACAAAAGTACATGGAATGTCACAAATGCTATTAAATTCTTTACTAATCAAAAGTTATATATACATTCCCCCTATTTATTTTGACCTTTTCCTTAAATATCATTTTAATTTGCACCTCTTCTTTTGCTTTTTGATCTGACATTTTTCTGGGGTCTCCCAGAGCAAAACATGAACTTTGCCATTACTGTATATATTAAATCATATGGAACGCAGGGGGGGGGGGAGGGGGGGTAGTTAACATTTAGTGAGCTCAGTGCTCAAAGTCCCTCCATTTTACTATTAAAGATTTATAGCAATTGAGACATTTCTTTTGGATCAACCAAAGTACATTCATCAATATTTTCAGCTCACATCATGAACTTTTTTGCCGTATGGTGACACGTTTTCTAGAGTCAATCTCAGTCCAGAGGAAACAATGACTTATTGCTCATGTAAGTTTTATATCATCTTCGCAGTGCCAGGGGTCTTGATTGGATGGTTGACTCAGGACCCCTAGCATCTTCGCTAGCCAAGGGTGACGATCCACGGTGTTTCTGAATAGAGAAACACCGTGGATTGTCACCATTGGCTAGCGAAGATGGACCCCTAGCACTGATTTTATTACTATATGCACACTTCATACTTGACTGGCAGACTTGGATGAGTAAAACACACTTTAAGGGATCCACCTGCGATTAACTTGATTCGTAATAAGCATAGTTCTCTTTATCGAATAGATTTATTATTTTCCCCTCGCGAGTTACAGTTAATAATAGAACAGTTTTTAAGGATGTGTGTGTGTTTGTTTGTGGGTGATTGACGTAGTCCTGTACGAAAGGGAAGTGACGTAATCTGCATTGGGATCGATGTCGATTGCTCACAGGCACTTATTTCTGTTCAGGTATTTCGTATACGGAACACCTACTCAAAATAAGTAAGGGTGTTCCGTATACGAAACAAGTGGCTGTGCGAACGCTGTCTTAAATTAAAGATATATGCTCCTTGCGAGGGTATACTCCACTTTGCGGAGCCCTTGTTTTTTTTCTCCAAAAAATATAGGAACGGAAATCACTTTGCTCATTACTAAGATTCAGTGGAACCTTGTTTTACTGTACATTACTCGCATAGATTTAATTCAAGTGTTTTTCGTTATCCTTTCTAAATTATTTAATTTGGTTCAACTTTAATTGTTAAACATTTACATACTATGACATCATGAACAATTCTTAACGTGTACTTTAAAAGTGCCACTTCTAGTGTCAGATTTAATCCCAGCTCTCCATATCTATACAATATTTTAAATATAAATGCATTACAGGACTGGAAAATAACATTCTGAAAATGACAAATTTCTGACACTTTATAAACAAGTCAATTTAGTGTATTTTTATGACAATTCGGTTGCGATAAGAAAGCTCATTTGATATAACAGATACATAAAAACGCTCAAAGATAAACCGTTTCACGGCGTATACTGTTAAGAAATAAAGCATGATGTTTTTTATGAATATAAGAAATCAAATATAATTCTAGGGTGAATGAATTTTTCAGGATCATAAACCATCTTCCAAGCCTTGGCTCGACTTTCACAAGATAAGTTTAATGACTTTTTTGTTTCTGTATCGTTAAGGTATAGTTTGACACGCGTTATAATATTGAGGGGGTTCTTCTGCCAATTGTAAGCCGACATTTATTGTCTTGCTGTGTGAAGTCTGACATTAAATCTGATTACCCGCTGCCAGAAGTTAACGGTTCTGACTGGCACGTAAGTGTCCTCGCGGATTCCTAACGATGTCGAATTTCGAGCAACGTCACTTCCGGTATTTCGAAAATTACTAAAAAAATTTTACATTTCTAGATAGTGTCAGGTATGTTTTTAACTATTTTTTTTTTACAATAGTCAAAATATGTTGAAGTTTAGATTTTAGTTTTGCTTCTCTTTGGTCTTATCAATCAACAGCTCTAGCTTTGTCATCAGCCAAACCTGAGAGGAACAAATTGTTTCTGAGGAGACCTTTCGTTGCACTGAGGCCAAACCTGGATTCATATTGTTTTTTCTAAAAAGAAGTATTTTTTAAAACAAAGTCAGTACTAGTATTTGGCGGTATATAGTACATGTAATAGCAGATAGTGCAATTCTCTGTCATCCTTTGACTTTCAGGAAGGCGTCGCATTCTGAACGCTACGTAATTAACGTCTCTAAAATGGCGCCCACCACTTTGCCATACGAAACGCTGTCATTGGATCATTGCTACACTTTTTGGCATTCGCCCGCATTTCTATCCCATGTACATTTCAACAGTGAATGAAAAGCTGTGTAAATTCAGAAGCTAATTATGTAACGTCGGGAATACCACGCCTTACTGAAAGTCTAAGGTTAACTGAGAATTGTACCATAGGATAAAAATGGACAAAGATTGCCAAGATTATCTTTAATAGCACAATCCTTTCATTATAACAAAGTACTGTCCGCCTTCAATATTTTGGGTTTTTCCCCCAACGTTTTCATCACTTTGCAAAAAGTCCAGAAAAATGCATTTATGACCCGTACTAACTTTCATGCTTTTTTAAATACATCACAAACTTAAGAAACATCCAATAAATGGCACCGTAAAAGCACCTGTCACAACCTTTGACGTCACAAAGGACCATTTTGTGACGTCACAATATCTTGTCCACGCTCTTCTCTAACGACAAAAGCGAAGCTTATATCACAGATAACTGGACTACCACCTGCTGAAGTTACAGTTTCTGCATTTGCACCTGATGATGTATCGGTATGTAGCAAACACCGACTGACCGCCCTCACAATTCAGTCGGATAGCTTTCATAATGGACAGGGAGTCTCGGCAACACTTGCAGTGGTAGTTAAAGGGGCGGTACAGAACCGGGCTGAAGGTCACTCGTGGCTCTGTCTTTGACTTATTGCAGAATCCCTTACACCGCACCAGCAGAACATGCTGAAAAAAGATGACCGTACGTAAAGTCAGGTAAATTAAGCTCTTTAGTAAACACAAGATTTTCCATGGCCTTATCAAGATAATCATGAATTACGATATATACTACATTAAAGCAAGGAAATCGTTTTGAAAAATTAATATACCTATAAATAGTTTTGACCCGAAAAATTTAAATTCACATTTTTAGATGATAATGCACAGAACGAAGTGAAATAGTTGGGGTGGCTCTAGTCAGACTGGACTCTAGCTCTTCTTTGATATAAGCTCTCCAATAATACTGTGTTTAGATAATCACTTCCTTCATTATTTAGAAACAGAGGAACACTTTGGAATGAAGAGTGTTTGACAGAAACCTATTCACTTTTCTTCAACCTTTAGGTTAGATCGGATTTGTCTTAAATTTGTAGCGCCATATACATGTACTCTTAATAAAATTAAACAAACTATGATATCAGTGTAGCCTACTGAATCATTTGTCTTCAGTATTTACCCCGGCTCATCACGAATAACGTGACTAAACTGTTTAAGGGCATCCAAACATGGATGTTAGGACCAAGAGAACCTGGCATTTCACAGTCCCCAAAACAACGCGGGTCTTATAGGAGCATTGAGTTTTCACAAATTGTTTTACATGATGTTATTACCCAAAGAACGCTCACACCGAACTGAAAAACGTTGAAAGTACCGAGCATTTTAAAAAAGCGAAAATGAAATAAGGTAACTTAAAAGGGGTCAAAAATTGATATTTGGTTTTGAAACATTTTTTTCATATCATAAACAATTTTTTGCCCGGAATGGGTAAAGCATTTATTAATTGCAAACAACGAAAACAGCGCAAAGAACATTTAATGAAGGTTAATTGTTACTAAAAATTGGTAAGAGGTTAGTTTCCATGCAAGAAGTGATAGTTTCTTACCTTCTTCTCACAATTCTTTTTCGGATGTTCGATAGTATGAACGAAATAATGTCTCATACATTTGTTTTCTTTTCGTTTCGAGTCTACCATCTGAGCACTCCACAACAGTGCAACACAAATAGTCCACACGAATAAAGCGCCTCGGCTACGTGGACTTTTTACCATATTAAGTCATCAGTGGTTAATCGTTTGGCGCCACAGGCATCTAGCTTACAAAACTCTGAGTATACAATTATTTTTTTTTTAAATGCTGTGTATGAAAAGCGGTTAGAAATTTTATCTCATTAAACAACGCCTCAACTGCAGGAATTGTTGACTGTCTCCGGTTGTCAGACGACCAAACCTGTCCTTACAGCATCCAAACAAAACAGATTGATTAATCTGAAGACTGTCAACAGACTAAATCTGCTAATCCCAGCCGTAGATAAATTCTAACAAACTTGCACAGAACGCGCTAGAAAGGTTTTCAAATGTCATTCAAGAGAACTATCCGCGATAAGTTTTCATTTTTCTAAACAATGAAACTCTCCGGCTAGTACAGACTCTTCGAGTTTGACGTGGGCTTGGATTAGCTGCAATTGACGGCACATTTCTGATATTCCAGTCCAAATTTCGTCAGAGGTGTTCGGGTCGAGTTTTCCGGTACGAATTATAGAAAAAAGGACCAGAATAACTATTTTGTCTTTCTCCCTAACGGGAAAAAATAATATTAGTTTAGAAATTAGTTTTACGTATAGGAACACTATTAAAGGTTTAAATCCAATTCTATTGTTCTATTTTCCATGGAACATTTTGTAAGTTCTTCACGCTTTTACGATATATCAATTCCCGTATTCTACAACTCCGTAAAGCTACTTATATTCCTCTTAGCCGTTTAACATCTTCATGTAACCCTTTCCTTCAAAACAAACAATTTAACCACTTTGTAATTTTTAGTAATTTATCCACCGCAGACACGATACGATCATATTTTTCAAACTCAAGGCCTTTTTTTTCTTATAAACAAAAAATGTAAATCTATTATCTTTCATCTTGCACTCCCCTTAATAACACGAGCATCTTCCCCCCTTTATTCACGAGGGATATCGACGTTAATGAAATCTATTATCATGGTTTATTTTTATTCTCATCTGATATTGGCACGATATTAAACTCTAGCGAACTTGACGGAAGAAAATGGATAAAAATTAATCACAGAATTATCGGAGAATTAATGACGGTGTTTAACACCTTGTGTTCCTCCGCAGGCAAGGGTTATCACTCGGGGTCACCTGGCACTATATTGCCGCGGCGGAAACTTCGGGGGTGGTGAGTGATTGGTGAGGACAGCAGGTATACAGGTGATACAGGTGCGTGGGGCTGATTTTGTGTGAGGGTACATACCAGTTTGAGGGTACCATTGAAACGTTTTGTCGTTTTGTTCAAAGCACGTTATAAATGATATCAAATGAAGGATTTTGCGGGTATTTCTAACAAGGAAGATTAATTTCAGCTAGAACGGAAAATATTTATCTCTACCCTATCTCTTGTTACTTTTAGAGTCATTGACCAAAAAGATTGATTGATTGATTGTTTATCATTATTATTAAACATTTATTAAATTTATTATTATTGGTGTTTTTGGCGTTTTACGCCGAGAAGTAGCACAGCATTTTACATTTTTCCTGTTTGTATTACAATATGTGTCACCCTTTAAATTGTTATGCCCCCGTAATCGAAGATGTAAGACTAATATAGTTTTTGCCCAGTTTATCCGTCTATCTGCCTGTTTGTCCGCAAAAAATAACCTTGCCCATTTCTTTCGATTGATTAGAGCTATGGCTTTCAAATTTGAATTGTGCATTCTTTGACATTTTTTGAGTAACAATTTCCAAAAGTTTATGAAACACGTTCTACTAGTATACTATAATTTTTAAACAGTTGGAGCTATAGGGCTTTCATACTCGACCTAATTTCCTTGGACCTGTATAAATATTTTGACCTTTTGATCTTTTTCTTAAATTATGGCCCACTATGAAATAAAACTTAATCCTTGATCATAATTCCTGAACATTTTACATGATGCATTTCATATTTGTCAGATGTATTCTTCCCTTTGGATACCAACAATTTTGACCTTTTAGCCTTGAAAACTTTAAACAGTTTGTGCGAAGGTTTTTAAAATTTCATCTGTGCATTTTTTCTGACAAAACCTTAATTTGGATAACATTAATTTTGACTTTTTGACCTTTGTGTTAGATTTTAACCCAATTTTTAAAAACTTTGACTTTGACCATAACTTTAATTTTTTAACTGTTAATGGCAGGGCTTTCCGGCATATCTCACAGATACGGACCCTTTCAATTTGATATCTTGACCTTGACCTTGGGGTTTGTCTAGCATTTGATAAACTTTATCCTTCGTCATTAGCTGCATGCAATATTGTTTATTGTATTAGCTATAATACATATAAACGTCGGTTTGTTTGAAGATATGAAATTTTGACCACAGCTTATTTTTTTGACATCATATTGTTTATGTGAAGTTAGTAAAAAGGTGTTGCTGGCTATCGGATGTCGGCACTACCAATGAAATGGCGTCTAACTATTTATCTGGATTCTTTAGCATCTCTTTCATTCCAAATGAAGAACAATGGGTGTGTTGTATTGTTATTGGAGGTAGTAATTTAGATCAGGTCATGGCTAAGAGGTCAAATTTGGTGGTATCCAAGGAAGGGTTTTGTCACAAGGAATACACCCATGAAATATGGAAGTTATAGCCCCACCCACTCAAAACTTACATGTATGGGCAAGGTTAAAGTTTTATGGACAAACAGACAGACAGCCAAACACACGGACGGACAGGACAAAAACTGTATACCCCCAAATCTTCGATTACGGGGGCAAAAAAAAAAAAAAAAAACAATTTAGCCATATTTTAGCCATATGAAGCCGGATTGCTTTATGAGTATATGGAGTCTTGAAATCTAAGTTCCCCTTAATTTTGGTCGAATAAAAACTGAGTGTCTTTATATAGATGAGTTTGATAATTTCTTCCAGGCGTCGGGATTCTAAGATATTATAAAAGCCTGCTAAATCAAGAATATCAAGTCTGCATATAATAATTGATGACATGGAAAATACGGCATTGCGTAAACCGTCTCCTGTGTTTAAGCAGTGTTTCCTTAACTTTCTGACAATTTTGCTAATCTGGATTTATCTTAAAGTTCATGATATACTTTTTTAAAAAATAACTTGTTCTGCTTTACATCCTTTTTACTTCCTTACCTCTTTTTTTGAATGTATTATCAATAAAGGATATATTCTTTCTTAATTAAAACTAAGGTTTTAAAAAAAGTCGCGTGCATATTATGAACGATGCAAATGCTGTAAAATGCTGCCTCAAAGATTGCAGTTTTATGCGTAGTAATGAATTTTAACATGTTTGATTTTATATAAATTATGGTGAAATAATGTAATAATAGTGCATTAATTTATATAAACACATTAGAAATAAATTTTATAATCAAGTTTTCTCACTTTAATTTTACTTTCAGCATATCTCTTCGAACCAACACATCGCTGATATTAATACTGCATACGAAAATCCAGAAAACGTTCGTAATTCACCATTTCTTTTGAGAGGAAAGTCTTAACGTGTTAATCCCTACCAGACATCTACTAAAACATCTAACCTCGGCCGCTGCGGCTGCTCTATTATTTTTTTATTTAATTTTTTACCTTGCTTTTTTATATTACCTTCAATGTAGAGATGATACGATGCGGCTTTTTACTTTTGGTAATGATTCGCATCAAAGTCTGAAGTACCCTTACAATGGGCCACTTCCCTTGAATGTTTCAGACTGATTATTTCACAGGTGTCAGTTAACCGTCGCCTATAAAGTCAAGTACCTGTAAAAAGCGGAGTCTACAGCATTAGGTGCCTACATTAATGTGTAGTGTGGTTACCAGTGAAATTCTTCTGATCGCCCAGCGGTATTAAATCTTAAAACCAGATAAGACGAGATCTCTCAATGAAAACGCAAAGAATCCAAATTTCGTAAGTTTGCTTCTTTTAAAGGGTTCAACAATTTTTTTTTCCATTGAAAGATGTTTTCTTAAATTTGCAACAAAGTGTGCGAAGATATTGAGAAATGCACGTTTTTGTTCAAATCGTTACCGTTATAAGACTATTTCTGAATGTGATATTTAAACTTCCTCATTTGACTGCAATTAAAAATTATATATATTAATTTTTAAAATTCCTTCCCATTATGCAGATAAGACATTAGTTACGACTTACCAAACAGCTACTAGAAAAAAATCGTAAAAGTAATAAATACGCAAAAATCAATTATTGTTTATAATTAAGAAGCCACAAACCTATTATTACAATTTTATTACTCGAAGAACACGAAAATTATCACACATAGATGTGAAATATCATTTTGCATCCTGCCTCAAAGACATGAAACAATAAAACAGGTACATGCATAACATATAGATATTTTCCCCTTTTAAAATATTCCTAGATTTTGTTATATTTTAAGACATGAATTATGTTTTTTAAAATCAACCATGTGATATAATTTGTATACGTATGCATAAAATGTTGTTAAAGAAAGGAATGCAAAATACATAAAACACTGTAGATATATACTGAAAGGAAAAAGAAACGCAGGGTAAAATTTTGAGGTGAATTAAATTTGTTTTTCTAAAAATACTTTTTAGTTTTCCTATCTAACTTTTAAAATCATCTTTCAAAAAGATAATAACCAAATTCTCATATGATTTTGTGAAATTATTCATTAGTTATTGAAGCTCAAATGACAATGCCCCCCAAAAGGGAAAATCGAAAACTCTCATTATCTTCAATGTCCATCTTGTGCATATGTCAGAGTCTTATTTCTCCTTTGCATGGAATTTCATCAGAGTGTTTATCTTTCAAACCCTGGCTATATTTAGCATGGGTAACCACGCAAAAAAATAAGTCAAACGGCGCGCGCATGCGCCAGTCAGAGGAATACAACATTAAGTTGACTGGCTCAAAAAACCAAATTGCGGAATTGTTTTCTTTCAAATTTCGTATGAATGTAATCATTATAATCGTGTACACAATAAATGGCTGTTTTTGTGGTAGTAAGGTGGCGATTTAAGAGACGGCAGCACGAATAACCCGCTCGTAACATGGCTCTGTTTCGTGTTGACGTCATCGTCACGGTTGATTGAAATCCACTCCAGACCCTCTCTGACAAGGGCTAAAAAGTTTTATGGGGGAAAATTTACAAGAGACTGCTTAGTAAACCGTTGTTGCCTTTTTCATTAATTAGGCAATTTAAAAACAAGACCCCATTGAACTTCCGTAAACTGTCAAGATTGCAATAAATTCATAATGTCTCTTAATATTGAAAAACGATGTGCATACCTCATATGCATCAAATAATGCAACAAGATTTGTGGACAAACACGTCGTTATCAAATTGCACGTGTTTTGGTCTTTTTAGCGTTTTTCCTACGTGACGTCATAAATTTTACGGTTGAGTAATTCTGAATACTGATTTTGATGCACAATAATTAAATTTCCCATCTGACCAATTTTCGTAATTTTCGGTCATGTGGTCAAAGTTTTATCGACAATTATGCTACCCTGCGTTTCTTTTTCCTTTCAGTATATAATCCTATTCTCATTTGTTTTTTTAATCTGATTGTAATACGTATTAATTGAATTATTAACAAATCAATGCAAAACCTAGCAAAGAGTTGCTACAATGTACTATTGAATGATAAACGTTATACATGTATCTACGTCCCTGAAACCTTCTTTTGGAGTTTTCTTTGACATAATTAGATGACGCTTTAACTTATGTAATCCCGACTAGTTAATATCAATATAAGTTAAAC